TCCCTTTTGCAAAGACTCCCCCTTTTTGGCAAAGACCCTTTTTTGCAAAGACCGACCCCCCCAAATTGCAAAGACCCCTTTGCCTTCAGGAATCTTCCAAAACCAACCTGGGATTTAACTTTAATCCAAGTTTCATGCTGGATATTGCTCCGGGCCCAAGGAATTCCCTGGGAAAGCCAGTTCCCAGCCATGCTCTGCAAACCCCCATGGGACACTGGGCTGCGGCGTGGTCCTGGGGCGCTCAGGACCAGCAGGTCCATGGGTTGTCGTGGATGGGGGGGGGTCTGCCTGGTTTTCCATGGATTTTTAGATGTCTAGAAAAAGCAAAAGGGGAGCAGGTTCAGCTTTGCTTGGGCAGAGGTTGTAAAAAGGCTGTTTTAGGCTGTAGCATCCCTTCCTGGGAAGAGGGAAGCTGGGATAAGACCCTCCAAAGGGATTTTTGGGAGCAGGACAGGATGAGAGTCAGGATTTATATTGCAGTTAGTTTGTGCTGTGACCCTCTGGGGATGTTTATCTGCCAAATCCGCAGGGAGAACGGGCTGATCCCATCCTGGAAATCGCAGCGTGGGGGCTCAGAGGGGGAATGATCCTGGTTATCGTTCCCTCTGTGGCCACACACTAACTGGGCACCCATCATCTTTATTTTTTGGTTACCAGATCCGTGCTGAAGCCCAGCACCTTGCCGGATATCCAGGTTACAGATGTGGACGCTGCTGGGAACGGTGCAGGTGAGCCAGGCTGGGATCCAGTTGGATTTCAGAGCAGCTGTCTTATGCTTCAATTTGATTTGAGAAAAATACAAAACAGGCATTGATTTTTTCCTTCTAAAAATCAGCGTCCCCATCTTGCTCCAGGTTCCTTAAAGCCATTTCCAAACACTTTAATTTATTTAATTGTAGCAAGAAAATCTTGGCTCCCGATGGTCCAAAACTCTTCCTAAGGGGCTTTTGCTTGGGGAAAGGGTGGGATGCAGTGAAGAGGAGTTGGGAAAAAAATAAGGGGATGAAGCAAAGAGCCTTGTGGGATCATAAGGAAAAGGATGTCGGTGCTTCCCCTTCCTGGCAGCTCCGCTTTTAGGGGAGAAGAAAAGACAGAAGAGCTGTTCCCATGGGGAAGTAACATTTCTGCAGATTTTCCCCTCCCTGGTTTTTCCTGTTACAGAGGGGGGAGAGCTTGGCCACCCCAACATTTCCTTAACCCCTCGTTCTGAGCAGGCGGCAGCGCTGAACAGGACACGAGCTGTCCCACCAGCAATTCCCACTGGAAAAACCTGCTTTGGGCATTTCTCTCATTCGATTGAGACATTTCCTCGCTTTTTGGGAGGGTTTTTTGGTTTTTTTGAATGCTTTTATGGAAATACACCCTGTAGGTAAAGAACCAGCAAATCCTTTCAGCCTTGGGACGCTCATCCTGGCTCAGGGAGGAGCTGAGCACTTGCAGAACTCATTGATCCCTGAAGCCTTTTGCCCCAATCCTTCATCCATCAGCTTTTCCCCTTTCGCTTTTTGATCTCCCCACACATGACACTTTTTTTTTTTGCCCTCTTAATTAAAGCTTGTTCGGGCAATATCCACAACATCTCGCACTGTAGAAATAACCCAGCGGCTTTTTCAGCCAGCAGACAACGTAAATCCTCTGCCAGCGCATAAGAAAGAAATCTTTTATTATATTTTTCTCCAAAAGCCTGTAAAAATTAGGACTTAACGTACGTGCGCGGCTCCTCGTGAGTGCTTAGTCACCCTGGCGCGTGGCGTGCGTCGGGAGCGACGCGCACCGCAGTTTTCTCTTGCTGCGGACATGCTTTGAATTAAAACATCCAAGCTGGAGCCTGAGAGGTTCATTAATAATGGATGAAGAGCTGATTTATAATAATCTGGACCTGGGCCAGTTTTCATGCAGAGATCTGAAGCGTTGGCCTCATTTGCCTGTTCTCATTAAAAGAAAGGAGGAAAAAAATAAATATATATGAAAAAGTGAGTAAAGATGCTGGAGTCCCCCAGAGAAGAGGCTTTGTCCAGGTAGCGACCTAGATTTATGCAGTTAATTCTGAATTAATAACCTCCTTCAGGAGCTTGGAGAGAAGAAACCAGTAGCTCTCATGGTTTAAACTGGTGGGTTAAATCTCTCCTGGGAAGTTTGTATCTCTGGGATGGAGATTTTGCATCCACAGTGGGACTCCCGGCGGGTATTTTGCAGCAGTGAGATGCCAGGGTGGGACCCCAGGGGGGTTCTCATTTGCCCCCAGTCTGCAGCCTCATCATCCCACTGGATCATTTCCAGGTGCCAAATCGCAACCGGAGGAGACGCCGCAGCTGATGCGGACGCGGAGCGACGTGGGCGTACGGCGCCGGGGCAACATCCGCACCCCCAGCGAGCAGAGACGCATCCGCCGCCACCGCTTCTCCATCAACGGGCATTTCTACAACCATAAGGTGAGCCCCAAACTTCACCTGCTCCCCAAAACCTCTCCCGATGGACCAGTGAGAAAATCCAGGGTGAGATTTAAATGGACTTTGTGCCCATAGACATCCGTGTTCACGCCGGCGTACGGCTCCATCACCAATGTCCGGATCAACAGCACGATGACGACCCCTCAGGTCCTCAAACTGCTGCTCAATAAATTCAAGGTAGGTTAGATATCCCCCAGCCCACGCTACTGGTTGGCTCTGCACGGGGAATTTCTGTCTCACGGATATAAAATGCAAGAGCGGAGCGAAATAATGGAATTTTTTTTAATTGCTGGGAAAGTCTCGGGTAGAAACCTGGACCTTTAATAGTGATTTATGTCTCCGTTCAGATTGAAAACTCGGCAGAGGAGTTTGCGCTCTACATTGTCCACACCAGCGGAGGTGAGTCTGCAAAAACCCACCTGCCCCAGCACAGCCGGGGGGTTGGATGCGGCAAAGTCCCGTCACCCGCCGGGCCCGACGCCGGTGCTTTTGGTGTTGCAGAGAAGCAGAAGCTGCGAGCCAGCGATTACCCCCTGATCGCCCGCATCCTGCAAGGCCCCTGCGAGCAGGTCTCCAAGGTCTTCCTCATGGAGAAGGACCAGGTGGAAGAAGTCACCTATGATGTGAGTTTGCCAGTGCGGGATGCTTGTTGGTTTTGGATGGGCTTGGGATGCAACCGGGGACAGAAAATCGTGGGGGACATCTCTGTGCTGGGGATTTGCTTTGCTTTGCTCTCGCATCTCCTCACGAAAACTCCCCGTGTTATGGCAAAAGCCTTGTTCTGTGCCTAAGGAGCAGCTTTTAACTCAAACCAAGAGCAAACCCCCCCAGCCCTGCTTGGCCACCCCATATCTGACCACAGAAGAGCAATTCCTGCGCAGCCTTTGGCCTCATTGGTATTTTTTTCCAGCCGGGGAAAATGCTGGGGATGGGGAGTGGCTGGTTTATGCCATTGGCCGGCTCCCGGCGCTGCTCTGCTCTTCAATCAGAGCACAAACGAGGGGCTTTTAGGTTCTGTTTGGGCTCAGCAGGGCTCGGTGACACTGGGTGGGGAGTTTGACATGCCTGAGGAATGGGGATGCCAGACAGAGGGACCTGGACAAGCTGGAGACGTGAGCCCATGTAAACCATGAGGTTCATCAAGGCCAAGTGCAAGGTCCTGCCCTTGGGTCGGGGCAACCCCCAGTATCAACACAGGCTGGGGGATGTTGGCCACAAAGGCCAAGAGCATCCTGGCTTGTGTCAGCACTAGTGTGGCCAGTAGGACCAGGGCAATGATCGTCCCCCTGTACTGGGAATCACTGGTGAGGCTGCAGCTCGGGTGCTGGGTTCAGTGTTGGGGTCCTGACTCC